GAGAAGCAGGCTAAACTGATGCCCAAAGGTTCTTCATAAGACAAGAAGCTGATATCCTTGGGTAGGCATGCATCCCGGTTTCTGTTTGGATAGTCTTTGTCTGGGCATTTATGGCAGTTATTCATATCTGGGGCGAAATAAAGAAATTAGCTCATATCATGTCAACTTTCTGAAATGTTTACTTTCTGTCTGAGAAGAAAAGAGCTCTCTTTGAATCAAAACACATATCTAGTACTGTCTGGTGCTCTGCAAAGTGCTATTACTGATTTTAATTGGTTCAGAGCTGTGTGGTGCCACAGCCAGAGCCACTAACATATAAATGTTTATTCACACTAGTCTGGGTGCAGCCTGTGTAAGTCAGAAGGAGTAACAAGGCCCCCTCTAGATATGATCTGAACCACATACCATCCAATTACTCTCAATGCATAGTCATTGTCATTTGATGGCATATTTAAACTACAGTGGTACCTCCGGTTAAGTACTTAATTCGTTCCTGAGGTCCGTTCTTAACCTGAAACTGTTCTTAATCTGAAGCACCACTTTAGCTAATGGGGCTTCCTGCTGCTGCCGCGCCGCCAGAGCCCAATTTCTGTTCTTATCCTGAAGCAAAGTTCTTAACCTGAAGCACTATTTCTGGGTTAGCGGAGTGTGTAACCTGAAGCGTATGTAACCTGACGTACCACTGAAAGGCAATGATCACAAAGAGGCAGGATAATGCATACAGTAGATTATTATCTAGTTTGAAATGTAAACTTAGCTATCCTTACAACACCTTTCAATTATTAGTGCTGAGTCTGGATCTATTTAATCTATTTATTTCTCTTACCATCCTGGTTTGCAATCTTCCCCTCTGCACATGGGATGCAATCGTAGCAGCAAGGGGGCTGTCCCTCCTTCACTTTCTTGCTGGATCCTGGAAGACATCTCTCAGTACAGAAAGAAAGAGGCTGAGTCTATACCATAAATGAAAAAGCAGAAGGTAACTCTTTTTTAAACTTTAAGAAGATAACTCTTTTTTAAAGACTAATGTATCCATTCCTAATGCTCAGTCACTTGCTCTATACACCTTTCCTCTCAGCTCTCTCCTTCACTCTCTCAATCTTCAACACTTCTCCTGCTTCCACGTCTTCCACTTATGAACTTAGAAGACTAGCGGTCTCCTGTACCTGCTGCTGTCAGTTCCCATTTTCTTGCTCTGGTATTATTATACCTCCCTTTCCCATCCAGCTCATTCCTCCACCTTTTAGCAAGAAAGGTGAAATCTTAGGGCTTATCTATTAATGCATCCTCTTTAACTCAGTTTAAAATCAGTATTTTGTAAATGTAAAGATATCCTAATTCTTATGTTTATATTAATATAGATTTCTATTTTTACTTAAAATTCACATTGCAGTCTTCCAGAGGAAAGGAAAACCCATTACAGTGGTACCCCGCAAGACGAACGCCTCGCTAGACGAAAAGGTTTTCCGTTTTGGAGACGCTTCGCAAAACGAATTTCCCTATGGGCTTCCTTCGCAAGACGAAAGCCCATAGGGAAATCTCCGGGACAGGGCGTCTTGCCCACTGTCCTCGGACCTCCTCCCGCCGCCAGGCTTCGGAAGGCTGCTCCGAAGCCTGGCGGGGGGCGGAGAGGTTTTTTAAAAACCCCGGGACAGCGGAGGACTTCTCCGCTGTCCGGGGCGATTTTAAAATGCTGCCGGGCGGCAGCGCTGCCGCCCAGCAGCATTTAAAAAAACCCCGGGACAGCGGGGGACTTCTCCTTTGTCCCGAGGTTTTTTAAAATGCTGGCGGGCGGCAGCGAAGGCTTTGCTGCCGCCCGCCAGCATTTTAAATTCGCCCCGGACAGCGGAGAAGTCCCCCGCTGTCCCGAGGTTTTTTAAAATGCTGGCGTCTTCCCCTTTCTCCCCGGACCTCTTTTGAAGCAAGGGGCGGCAACGCGGAGAAGCGATCTTCTCCCCGTTGCCGCCCCTTGCTTCAAAAGAGGGGACAGAGGGAAAGGCGCGCGCCTTCCTCTCTCTCCCCGGACCCCTCTTGAAGCAAGGGGCGGCAAAGGGGAGAAGCGATCTTCTCCCCGTTGCCGCCCCTTGCTTCAAAAGAGGGGACAGAGGGAAAGGCGTGCGCCTTCCTCTCTCTCCCCGGACCCCTCTTGAAGCAAGGGGCGGCAAAGGGGAGAAGCGATCTTCTCCCCGTTGCCGCCCCTTGCTTCAAAAGAGGGGACAGAGGGAAAGGCGCGCGCCTTCCTCTCTCTCCCCCCTGGCTGCCTTTTGAAGCAAGGGGCGGCAAAGGGGAGAAGCGATCTTCTCCCCGTTGCCGCCCCTTGCTTCAAAAGAGGGGACAGAGGGAAAGGCGTGCACCTTCCTCTCTCTCCCCGGACCCCTCTTGAAGCAAGGGGCGGCAAAGGGGAGAAGCGATCTTCTCCCCGTTGCCGCCCCTTGCTTCAAAAGAGGGGACAGAGGGAAAGGCGCGCGCCTTCCTCTCTCTCCCCCCGGACCCCTTTTGAAGCAAGGGGCGGCAAAGGGGAGAAGCGATCTTCTCCCCGTTGCCGCCCCTTGCTTCAAAAGAGGGGACAGAGGGAAAGGCGTGCGCCTTCCTCTCTCTCCCCGGACCCCTTTTGAAGCAAGGGGCAGCAAAGGGGAGAAGCAATCTTCTTCCCTCCGCCCCTTGCTTCAAAAGAGGGGAAGGCTGGCGGGGGGCGAAAATCTTTGTCCCCCCTGGCTGCCTTCCCGGGAGGGCTTTTAAATCGCCCCGGACAGCGGAGAAGTCCTCCGCTGTCCGGGGCGATTTTAAAATGCTGCCGTGTGGGGGGGGAGCAAAGACTTTCGCCCCCCCCCCCAGCCTTCAGAAGAGGTCGGGGGACAGATTGTCCCCGGACCTGGTCTGAAGTCGATTTCCATAGGAACGCATTAATTGATTTTCAATGCATTCCTATGGGAAACCGTGCATCGCAAGACGAAAAACTCGCAAGAAGAAAAAACTTGCGGAACGAATTAATTTCGTCTTGTGAGGCACCACAGTAGTTACTCCAACTAACCACTTATGTGCACTCTCTGATGTAAGATTGCTTCAAGGTCAAACAGATCATCCACTTCATAGTTTCCTGGTCTTTCACCACGTACACCCTCTTGTGCAGGCAAAATAAATGCAGAGGCCCTGATTGGCTGGGAAAAAACCCTGCACTCCTATCTCCAGGCCTTTTCATAGAAAAACTGGTATTTGACCTAGATCAAAGCACCCATATTCACACGAAGGCGCTCTGTGTTCTGTTTTGTATCATCCTAAATAAAATATTTTCCTTTACTCCTGCAGTGGCTTCTAGCAGCAAGCTTTTGGCTCTTAATCTGGTACTTGGATGCATTGATCATGTTCTGCACAGTAACTTGCAGTTTAAAAGACAGTGAGTAGACTTGCAGGTGGATAATGATTGCTTATTCAATACTGAATCTCTTTTGAATTAGCAAACAATGCAACCCTACCTGGTTAAACCAACTGTGCCATGTGATGGCATCTTGATCAAGGATGAATGATTGGCCTGGAGGAGCCTGTGGATCTATTCTCCCAACTCTCACTCGGTGCAAACTTTGGTTGGAGAATATAATGCAATTGACAATATCCAAGCTAGATGCCGCCTCTCCGTTCTGGTTGATGAAGACCACATCTCCTGCCGTATTGTTAAATGAGATACTTCTCAGAAAGTGATGGAGCTAGATTGAATACAGAAGAGGCAATTGTTTGGAAAAGACTGCAGTTCTAATACAAGACTGAGGTATCTTTTTTCCTGTGGGCAGGACCTAGAGCAAGAGGTGGGTGGTGATACAGTCAACTGTGAGTAGAGTCAGGTCCAAGGATGGAGAGACCACCAATTTTCTCTCTCCCACATCCCTCTCTCTCCCTCTCCCTCTCCCCTTATTTACAACCTTTCTTTATCTCCCCTGCCCCACACCAGTTTTCCTCTGTCCCTCTTCATCTCAAGAGACACCACAGTGGTGTGTGATCACCTGCTGTGAGGGAGGATTTGGTGTATATGGGATAGAGAGAATGCTGAGCATCTCTCTCAGCCATGACTACTGCTTCTTATCTGTGAATACAGTGGCATCTCAGTGACCTCCAAACTTCTGTCATACAAAACCTTTTTTTCTCTGAGAGGAATGAGCAACATTTTGGAAACCCATACTTTATCAGAGAATAACAGGTCTCTTCCAGTTGAGGATGTTCAGCCTATTACCTGCCAAAACTGTAGATTCGGATTCTTCCCTCTCCCTCCACATGCCATTCCTCTGTGCCTGAGTCTGGATGTGAACATGGCATGTAAAGCATGGGCCATGGCGTATACAGCACTGTGGATGCTGTAACTGTGGCCTGTCATGCTCATTTCAAAAAATGATCCAGGAAGGCTCTCCAGCTTCTCTTCTCCAGTGCAAATATTCCCCTCCACCTTGTCTGAAGTCATATCTGGGAACACACATTCAAAGGCCTGTTGCCAGAAGTCCCTGATAAAACCATCCCCATCTGTGCTGGACGGGTTTCTGTGCACAACATACTGATAAAATCCTGGAGGGTTTCTGAAGTGAATTTCAAAGGATATAGCACCATTGAATACTCTTGAATCCCAGCTCCTTTGAAAGACAAATGAAGCAAACTCAATCTGGGCAGTTGTTATCCATACTTTGCTTTTTATATTGTTTATCATGTCATCCTGTTCTGATAGGTATGGAAGCCATCTAAAAGTTGCCATGGAATAAGATTCTCCATTTGCCACCATAACATTAGCTTTGCTGCTAAGAATTTTATGGTTTATAATTGCCCCCTGTTCTAGCATGCCATTAATTTCAGAAATAAAACTGAAATCGGGGATTCTTTCTATGAATGCAAAACACACACCACTCTTGGTAAACATTGGGAAAATGGTTTGCACAAATCTTTCTCCATTCTCATTGTCCATTGCAATGACTCCAATCCACGTCCACCTGAAATGCAGAAGCAAAGAGAGAATTCCCTCATACTGAAGGGCTTCTGAGGCTGCCATCTGGTAGAAGAGAAGCCCTGGACTTTTATCATTCATCACTGGAGCAGAGCCATAAATGAGCTAAAAAGTAAATGGAAGAAGAGAAGAGACAAAGTAGATTCCTTTCACAGTATTCATAAGAGATCCCTGTTAATCAAATATGCCCTTTCCCAATGTTTCAGTGTTTGTTTGCCTCTCTCTCAGTTTTACAAAAAAGACCCATGCAGATGGGCTGAAAACTGGGATCATCTCCCTTTTGTCATTTTTCAACCTTTCACTTGATGACTGGAGAGGGGACTGTGTATGTTTTAGTTTTGGAAATTTTGTTAATACTTTGATGACTGGAGAAGGGCATTGTGTCTATTTTACTTTTAAAAAGTAAAAAAATTGAGTAGTTGCAAAATTTGGCAAGGACTTTTACAATGGATAAAACTGAATGGGGAACATACCATGCCCCAAGCAGCAGATTACCTAAACATTATCTGGCTTTGTCAAAATCGCAAGTTGGATCAGATACATATTTGTTCTCTGGAGCACTGATGCACATAACCCACCCCACAGCAAAACTGTGCTGATTCGTCTCAGACTTTATTTATGAACATTTATTTCACTTGTAACTCAGCTGCTTTCTATTATTATTGTTCTTCTGCAGAACTGGATTGTATCTTCAATTTTCCATAATTTCTTTGGTGCAATAAATAATAAGTATGGTACTGGCACCTACCTGTCAGTTCTTTTAGCTATAAGCAATTTCCCCCCCCTCTTCCCCAGTAGCTTTTTTGAGATGCCCTGATCACTAATTTTACTATTGGCACCTACCTGTCAGCTTTTATCCTGTAAGCAATTTTCTGCTTTCCCCAGCAACTCAATTCAGATACCCTCCGCACTAAGCAGAAAATACTGCATAACCAAAAAGCAGCTGGTGAGGGAGAAGCCCACTTTCCCATCACTGGCCTTTGGGATATCAGTGTTTTAGATGTGTGTGTAAGACGGGGGTCGGGGGTGACATATCTTTTCTGGTATTGCACATTTCCCCTTATTGATGTTTGCTTGTTTATATTATAATTATGTACCACCTTTATTTTCCAAGGATCTCAAGGTGGTGTACATAGTTTTCCTTGCAATTTCATCTTCACCCTGAACTGATGCTGAGGAACCTGCCTCTTCCTCTACGCAAGCTAATAGAGGTATTGTACATAGGTGTCCTACCTGTGGAATCTTAAAGATATCCAAAACAGTGGCCACATAAAAGGAGATTTCAGAATCCAGTCCCCCAATGACCCCAGTCAGATTATTTTCAACATCACATATATAGTTAGGGACACATTTCTTCACCATGGATAAAAGCAGCAGTGTGGCGAGATATGTGCTCCTTGCATTCTTATAGCTGTCATATAAGTGGAAGCCCAAGGTGATATTGGGTAGGATGTGAGGGTCTTCGTTGACCTCCTTGACTGCAAATGCCAAGGCTAGGATGTGCTGGTAAATCTTAGGCACAACCCTAGAATGAGAGTTGCAAACGGTATCAGCAGGAACATCAGCAGATCTATCCTGTTACATAACAACACAGCAATTAATTATATTGTGTTCATTTGGATTAACTCACAGTCCATTCTACTATTCAACAGCTCTTATCAATGAAAAATTCTTCCTGATGTTTAGTTGAAATCTCCTCTCTTGTAACTTGAAGAAGCTAATTTGATTCCTAACCTCCGGAGCAAGAGAAACCAAGAGTGTTACATCTTCCTGGTGACAGCCCTTGAGATATTTGAAAATGGCTATCATTCCTCCCCTCATTCTCATCATAAGTGTTCCTCATCTTAGATTTCTGCATTTGTCCCTATTGGAATTCTTGTGTCATTTTTGTCCCAGTTTTCCAATATTTTAAGGTGTATCTAGAGCAGGGGTTGCTAATGGGGGCCCATGGGACATCTTCCCTTACATGACTGAGGTCTTTTTCTGACACTTACAAAGTCTCTGGTCTCTCCCTGCAGTGACTTCTTTTTCATGAGTCAGTGATGGTCGTTGGAATTCACTGAATAGTACACTTCATAATAAGTACCTTTCAGTGCTGAAACAAAGCTTAGTCTAAGTTCAGAAAATGAAAGCATAAGGATATTCAGCAACAGATCAGGTTTTTCAAAAATGCGTTCTTACTAACACTCTAGTTCAGATAAGGTCTATAAAAGTTAGCTGATCAAATGGTTCTCCCAGACACATAAACATTCATACATTTCAATACACTTATATTTATTTTTCCTATTGAGAAATGGGAGCTTCTTCAGTATTCTCTTAATTCACAAGACATTCTTATGATTTTTTACATCAGCCTATGTCCCTCTGATTTGCAAAGTTGTTATTCCTAGGTAAATGGGCAGAAGTTTGCAGCCTTAGTCATTATTTTGAGGCTGCAACTCTAGCTTTGATCATTCCACGGATGTAATAAATGAGTGGCTTAGTTCTTACACAAGCTCTTCAGGCAGCGCTGGTGGCGGTTTCTCAGTGAATGTTGCTGGAGAGGAGATGAAGCCACCATGGGAAACAATGACACCAATGATGAAATCTCCTGGCTGATGATACGTGTGAAGTGGATCGTGTGGACCTTGGAGCCTACATTTTTCTATGTGAGCCTGACATACATTATAAGAAATCAGTTCCAGCAGCAAGAACACTAAAACAAGCATTCTAACTAAAAAACCAACTGTTTGTTCTACACAGAACCCATGATTTCTCAACCAATATTATAATTAGCTTATCCAGGATAAAATTGTATCATTTGAATGGTAGTAACGTTTCCTGAGACGATGCAATCTGGGAGTATGTAAGAACAGACTTGTGGATCCCACACCCTATTAAAATCATTCTGGTTAATTTTGGTTTCTTTTATGTTACTTTTGCAAGTGGCCACTGAAAGTCCACAGGGTTTTTTGAGAAGCAGCAGATTTAATTATAGCCCTGTTAATAACCAAGCTGGAATTTAGTTATTTATTCAATGCTTGTGAACCCCAGTGGAATTGCAGAAGAAAATGTGTTTGTCACATATTCGGAACTATTGTGTTAATTCCCTTTCAGTGGATAATAAGGGGCCAGTGGTGTATTGGTGAAGTTAGAAGTTCATAATAGAAGACCTTGTAAACAATGGAGACTCCAACATGTAGTACGGTGTTGTCAGCATCTTGAAATTTGACTGAGTGGACCTGGATCCACATCAACCATGTGGCAATGACCCCTCACCACTCTGGGGGGTGACTGTTACATTTCCTCACTCTCAGCTTCCTTCCCTGATGGCCTAGGCACACAAATTTGCTGGCCATTGGAGGGGACTTCTTCTTTACCATTGGATCTCAAAGGGGAGGGGTCTTTCCAACCCAAAAGGCACCATAAATGGGCCAGTCAGTGGTGCCTCCTGGAGTGCAATGCCTTGCTGGCTGTGGCTATTGGCTGCTGCCTTGTCTGGCCTGGCAGTGAGGCTTAAAAGGGTGGTTGCAGGAGGCTGTGGCAGCGCTTCTGGGTGAAGAGTGACACCCTCGCACCCTCCCTTTTTATTTCCATTCACAATTCAGGTCAATTAATTATCATGCTTGTAAAATGTATTTTCCTTTTCAGGTCATGATCTATCATAGCTTTTCTCCCTAAGGGTCATTCCATCTAACCTTTTCATTTTTCTTGTACCTGCTGACCTTGCTATGGTTGATAATGGTTGCCGTATTTGGAGCTGGGAAGGAATTTGCCTGTAGACAAATTGGCTGGCCTTGAAGTTTAGACTCCCTAATAGCAAAACATCAAAACTTTTGGTGGTTAAGCCATTGGGTGGAATCTCAGTCTTCAAGCACTGGGTGAAGTAGCACCTCACCCAGTACCAAACCAGCGATGTATTCTGGGTACCCCATTAGCTCTACCTGCACCCAAAATTGGCTTGAGTCCTGGCTGATTGTTCACCCCAGGTTGAGGGTGATGGAACTGTGCAAAGCCCTCATATTTGTGCCATTTTCTGCCCCTATTACCCAAATGACTTCACCAGCCACTGGTGCCTAAAGCTCTGTACAAACTGGGACCCAGAAACCTGAAAGATTTCTGTTTTTAATAGGGTGAAGGATGAATGATTAATACTTAAATATCCCTGCTGTAACCAACTGGCAATTGCCAGTACAAGAAACCTGTGGCTGTTTAGACAGCACACTCTCCCGGAATATGGAGAGGCAATTGTTTTTGAATAAAGGGAGAATGATATTATCGCTTAACACACACATATTCTAAAAATGCAATCTGTGCACAGCAATCAAAGTTTGATTGTAATATTTTTGTGTTATTTCATATATTGAAAAAGGAGATGATGTGTCCTCTTCCTCCACCCCCAACGGAGAATAGAAATTGAATCCTGATGAATGCTGCTTGCATAGGAGCACCCTGGAACCAGCGGGATCAAACCCTTCCCTAACCAACTGCTGAACAGAGGTTTCTGCAGGGGACATGGTGGTGAAATAGACCCTGGCAGCCTTCCCATCCACCACTCAACCAAAACTCCAGATCACTCCACGTGGCCCATCTCAAAATGGGACAATCTTCACTTGACTTGGCCCAAGCTTTACATGATCCAGTTTGGATTGGTCTTCATCCAAACCGCTGACAATCCCTTGTGACAGCAAAGTCTATTGTTCAAGAATGTGCAATATTTCAGCTCCATTGGATCAGCCCTGGGTTATACAATCAGGAGACCGGGGAAATTTCTCCTTATTAACTTTTTCCACCATGTATAAATGCATATTAAATAACTGACCATTTGCTATTATTCTGTGACAGACAAAATCAGCTGTTAGAGGTGGCCTCCTCATGCTGTCTAATGTTGGGAATGTCCCTGAGTGGAAATCTGCCCAGAAAGCCTTGCTGAAAGGCTTCTAATGGTAGCCTTTATCTCCTTGTTCTTCAAAGCATAGATGGTTGGGTTTAGCAAGGGGGTGACACAGGTATAGAAGACAGAAAGCACTTTATCAATCATGAACCGGGCTGATGGACGCAAGTAAATAAACAAACAGGGCCCAAAGTACATGGTGACCACAATGAGGTGAGAGGTGCATGTGGAGGCAGCCTTGGTGGTCCCTTCAGAGGGACCCCTGGAGTGGATTGTGTAGAGAATGAATCCATATGAGATGAGCAGGCCAATAAAAGAAACTAGTGACAAAATTCCACTGTTGGTGACCATCATGACCTCCAAGGGATTTGTGTCAATACAAGCCAACTTGATGACCAATGGGAGGTCACAGAAGAAACTGTCCACTTGATTGGGCCCACAGAAAGGCACATTAATAATGAAACCCAGTTGCACAGTGCCATGGAGGAGCCCACCAGCCCATGAAGCAAGGAGAAGTGCCATGCAATGAGGCCGGCTCATAAGTGAGGCATAACGGAGGGGATGGGAAATTGCCACATACCGGTCAATTGCCATGGCTACCAGCAGGAGCATCTCACTCCCTACAAACACATGGAGAAAGAATATTTGTGCCATGCAGCCCTGGAAGGAGATTATCTGATGTTGGGCAACGAAATCCAAGAGATATCTTGGGATGGCAAAGGAGGACAGGCAGAGGTCCAGGAAAGCCAAGTGACCCAGCAGAAAGAACATGGGTGAATCTGAAAGACGGTGATCCCGGAAAATGGCTGAGAAAATGAAAGTGTTGCTGAAGACAGTGGCCATGTAGAGGACGAGGAGGAAAACAAATAAGAAGAGTTGGATTGCCCAGGTTTCAGAAAGGCCAAGCAAGACAAACTCACTCACCATTGTCCGATTTACACCCAGCATTCTTTTTCTGCATATCACTGTGAATATTGGAAAGGGAGAAAGGAGACAGTAATGAGATGCTTCCATCTCAGTCTTTGGTGAAATCAGCAAAAAGTGCATCTTTGTGTTATCTGTCATTATTCTTTTTTTATTATTCATTTTTATTTGATATTCTTTTGTTAGACAGTTACATATTCCGATCCATACTTTAACATATATTAAATATAAAACAAATCCAAACAATAGCCACATTTCTTCACCCGTGACATCCCACTACCTTATTGCAGCTTCTTCTTGACTGGGTCCTGAGACTCCAATCCCAGTGGATCATACATTGTTCATAGGAACACCTGAAGGTGACTTATACGGATCAAAGCCATTGCTCCAATTAGCTCACTAATGTTTGCAGTGGAGATGGGAAATCTGAAAGTCTTGTTCCCTTTCCTACACCCACACCCACACACCTGCCTTTCATTGAGGGAGACCTCCAGTCTATTTTACTCAGCACCATAGAAGCCCACTCTTGGGGGCTGTGGGGGCTTCAGCCCCCACAATAAAATATTTGAGGGTGCCATTCTAACACAAAGTTGATGGAAATTGCCATTCAAATGGTTTGTGAGCACTTATGCAAGATGGGGCTTACCTGGGCATCCTCAATATTTTATTCAAGTTGGCAGTCCTGCTCAATACTGTCTACACTGACTGATAGTTTGCTTTTCCGTGTTTTAGACACAATAAATTCACAAACTTACCCGGAGATGCCAGGAATCGAACCGCACGAACCGAATGTAAACAGATGCTCTGAACCCCCTCTCCATTTTATCAACTCGGCTAAGATATGCTGCCCTTCTGCCCAAACTTTTGTACACACCCTAACCCACCACTACCCCCACCAATTATTTAAATGATCAAAGGTTCCCTATCCTTGATTTAGACACAGGGTTATTGTTTTTTAGGATGATAGGAACCTGCTTTATATTGAATCAGAGTTGGAGTGACAAGGAAATCAAATATGCCACAAAAAAGGCCAAACAATCTGAGGTACAGTTTGCTTAAGTTCATCAGTCTATGTGTCGAAGAACCCACTAGTTTTAGGGACTGGGTAAGAAAGAAATAGCTTCTAAATGGGGACCATATTGAAAGACTTGCAATCATACTCCCTCTTGTTTTGAATAAAAGAAGAGAATTGAATTTTTAAAAACATCTCTACTCAAACAATAAGAGATCAAGTACAAATGGGGCATAGCTTTTAAGCTAACTGTATATTGGGATGGAGAATGGAACGCCATAAAATCTATTCAGAATGCTTATGGATTCAAAGAGGCTAGACATTAGTGTATGCAGGGGAAATATGAGAAGGCACTCTGTACCAGGTCTTGTAACTTTAATGGAGAAAAAAAGATGTATGTCAAATCAATATTTGAAGAATCTGGAAATAATGTAGCAGAAAGTAGATGAACAAAAGAAATAGATGCAGGTTCAAAAAGGAGTCGAATTGCAAAACTTAAGCACAAAAACCTAAACTGAGATACAGCAATAACTAACTAACTAACTGAACGGAGTTTCAGAAGTGAAGAATTCTCAACAGTTTGGTTTGTTTTTTTGCCCCTCTTCCTTTTTGTCTTTTAAAATTATTTTCTTTTGAGTTATTTTCTTTATTTTGAGTTATCTAAGTTAATTATGAAATTATTTTCTCTGAACACAAAAGTGTGAAATTCCCCTAATAAAAGTTGCTGGTATGCATGTTCATTAGCAAATGAAGAAGCTGGTTTTATTATTTCTTCGGAAACCAGTACAATTCTTGTGTGCGTATGTGTTTGTGTGTGTGTTTTAGCAAGATAGGAAGCTCCTTATACTGTGTCAGACCATCGATCCATTTAGCTCAGTCAGGGTGTCAGACAGGAGAAGATCCACAACCCTTTCTTGAAATGCGGAGGGATTGAACCTGAGACTTGATGCATGCAAAGCAGATGCCGTCCCCTTCTGCAGCTCATCAACTCCTCTAAAATATGCTATCCTTCTGCCTAAAGTTTTGTATGCTCACCAACTATTCCCTTCCTAAGAATCAGTTCATATTCCAATACGCAATGTGAGGTGCTTGGAGCACAGCTGTTTGGGGTTCCTCAGAGTTACTGTAGAAGGAAATTAGAGGAGATTCTAAGAAGAACTTACCCTCCAGAGGACACTGTAGAAAAGAAAGCTGGAGGTACTCTGTGTCCTTTCACAGCAAGTTCCAGCAGCTGCTCCTTCCCTACTAGGGTGTGTGACAAAAAGTGGATCGTAGCACTGTGTTTGCAGAGAGTTCATCCAGACTTCCTTTTGTGTCACATTTCTAGTCACAGGTCCGGGTGTTAAATCTCTATGCTCGAAGCAGTGGGAAAAAACCAGTGGCAGAATGATTAACAGACCATATGCCACTATCACTATTTTGTGATTCCCTTCCAAATAAGAATCTGGGTAGGCACTGTCAAGAGACTGAGACCTCAGCTAGATAGTCAGAGTCTGGTGTGGAATGGTAGACTGGATTTCTCAAGTTTTTAAAGTTTTTCCTTAGCAAAGAACACAACTTCTCTAACCTCAGTATTCAACAACATGCTGGGAATGATCCATTCCAGATCAGGCTCCAGCCATCTGGTTGAGCCTTCTGACAGTGGTTAGACCAGATGCCTATGGTAAACCCATAAAAAGAACATGGGTGCAATAGCCCTCTCCTGCTGTCCCCCCAGCATTTAGAGCCACACCACCTCCGAAACTGAAGGTACTAAATATAATCCCCAGGTTCTTGATGGACAATTGCATCCTTACAATGCTGACCAGTTCTGAGAATACACCCGTGTCCATCAGTAAGCTAGTCACCAAAAGGCATGTGGAGCGCTGGAGTTAGAGAGGGGGAAAGGGAAGATTAGCAGATGGAAACTGCTGGAAAGCTCCTTGGAGCAGTCTCCAAAATGTCACTTTTCCCAGAGTTTCGCACCTGCCTGTTGGAAAAATCTAATACACCCCCCCCCCATTTTTTTTCACCCACCTGCAAATCCCAGGAGATATTCCTTGAGGTTTTCTGCAGAAACTTATTCTGTAAAGCTCAGCATCAGTATGGATAACTTTGTTCTCATTCCATCTGCTGTCTATGAGTGGTGACAGGATGAGATACCTGTGTGGATGAGAGCTCTGCTTAAAAGGCAGGATGAAGAGCAAATCAAGAGTTAGTGGAGTGTGTGTGTGTGTGTGTGTGTGTGTGTGTAAAATTAATTGCTCATTCTTTTTGAAATGCATTAGCTGGTGCATTTTCTGCTTCAAGGGAGCTAGCAAAAGAAGCAATACTTTGTCACTAAGGTACACAGCTGTCCTCAGGGGTGTATTGAGTGTTGATTTGACTTCTGGTTTGGTTTCCTGGTTAGATGGCAAGGGAGAACAAAAGATGGAGATAAAGAGGGTTTGATTTTCTACCCCTTTCTGGAATGTGTGATTCCACCACCTCCAGCAACTGAATAATGTCCAACTGTACCGATCAAGAGGAAAGGAAGAGCAAGATATTAAGTGGGTTAACAAGATTAGCAAGATGATTTGTGGCTAAACTATTTCCCAGCTGCCACCATTATTACACGTGCCTCTATGAACATGCATCCATGAACCTCAAAACAGGCATGTGTGAAAGGTGGAACTTTTGTGTGAGTCAAATACAAATGCCAGAAATTCACAATACAATTTAAAAATTGAACTTTTTAAACTGTCGTTTTAGAAAATTGAGATTTAAGTTACTACAATGCAATCAATGTGATGCAAGACAATAATGGGTTCATTTTAATAATAATACATTCACAATGCTTAATCTAAAGAAAAAGAAAAAGAGTTGTTTTAAAGTAGAAAACAAAATGATGGAGCATAACCCTAAGTTACTGAAACCCCAAGAAAATAGGAAAGAATACAATGACCTAACTTGGGCCTTGCAACTATCTTGCTGTATGTGAGTTGTCTCTGGGCTAAGCACTGGTCCAAGTGTTTTTCTGTTTGCTCCACGGCTTTCCCCAAGAAAGTCCACTGTTTGCCGCTTAGGACTTATCCACCCCTCTGTTTGCCCTTCAACTTTCTACCGGGGAAACCCAATCTTTAGTGCTAAATTGGAACAAACGGCAATCAGATTTTCCAGGAGCAAAGGAAAAACTGCTCAGACACAGGCCTAGAAAGCACTGAACGAGCAGAAAAATGCTCAGACCCATTGTTTCTAGGTCCAGGACAAGCAGAAATGTGGGTGAGACCTCAATCAGAGCGAACGTAAATTCATGGAAAACCTAATTTATGTCTGCTCCAGTTCAGAGGTAAAGATCAGGTTTCCACAAGGAAAAGTGTTGGGACAAGGAGGAAATGTGGGTGAGCCTTCAGTTAGCAAGAAATAAAACCTGAGAACTCAGAGTCTCTGTGTCACTAGAGTCAGCAGGCAGGAAAGAGACCCAGCTCAGCATGTAGAGAGAAGGAGCTCCCAGCATGTTGGAGGAGAAGCTAAATTTCGCAATTGTGAACTAGCATGTTGCTTAAGATCACTCTCTCTGGGGAGAGAAACTGGACGTAATAGAACCATCTATAGTAGAAGTGGGGCTTTTTTCAGGGGGAACTCACAGTAACTCTGTTCCAGCACCTCTCTGGGGGGTGCCATTACCATTCTAAGAGAATAAAGGAAGTGTTCATTGTGAGTTCCAGCACCTCTTTTTCTAGAAAAAAACACTGAGTAGTAGCCACTGATAGCCCTATCCTCCATAGATATGTCTAATCCACTAAAGATACCCAAGTTGATGGTCATCCCATATGGTCATAATTTCCATTGTTCAGTTGTGTGATGCACAAAGAAATGCATCCTTTTCAGCTCCACTGGTAGATTCTGCGTTCTAGAATTAAAAGGGGAGGGAAATGTCTCTCTATCTACTTTCTCTACACCAGGCATGTCCAAAGTCTGTTTCGGGGCCCTAATCCGGCCCGTTGGTTGGTTTAATCTTGCTCCTGTGGCAATTTATTTCCTGGGGTAAATC